CACCGGCGCCGTTGACCAGTGCGAGGTGAAGAACTTCACAACAGACACACGCGCCTATACTGAGCTCTCTAAAAGGTAACTGGGGAAGTATTTTCATTAACCCGAGTCAGAGGTTTGAATGGATCGGTAATTAACCTTAAGTAGTCTTATGGAGGCTGTGCGGACGTCTTCCTGAGAGAGGTGGGGAAGGGTTTCGTGGCTCCAGCATCCTGGAGTCGTTGATGCAGGCAGAGTCCGTGACCCGTCCCTACCACACACACACACACACACACACACACACACACACACCCTATTTCCGATATTCAGTACTAGAAAGCTTAAAGAAACAGGCTGCCGGTATAATCCCGAAGTCACACTGAAGTTCTCTTTCTTGTACCTAGATATCACCTCCCTAGTCACTAGTTATTAGTCACTAGTTCTTAGTCACTAGTTCTTAGTCACTAGTGCCTAGTCACTAGTCACTCTCCAAGAGAAAGAGCTAAGCCAGTATGACTACATAACACTTGGAAAGGAATTAAGAACTGGTATATGAGGGCGGAGTGAAAAGAACGATGCCAATTCACTTTAGAACCTCGGGGATCGAACCTCGACCCCGCAAGACCGTTGCTATGGCATTCCGTCTAAGCGTAACGGGTTGGCACTCATCGGCAGGTCAGTCGGGTGAGGAACGGGTGGAGGCCCCCCCCCCTAGGTCCCTGGTTCCGCAAAGGTGAACTTCAGTGAAGGTCGACTGAGAGTCAATGACTCAAGACGGTCAATTCCAGGCGTGTTTGCATCCACTGAAGGCTTACGGTGATAATTACAGGTGTAGCCCACTCAGTAATGATACAGGTATTGTTTCAGTTCAGTAATTAGCCAACGTTGTCAAGACCAGGTGTTGCTTCGATTGTAGTTAATGAGTGATATCTAGCTAAAACACAGCAGGTGTGTGATGCACAGCAGGTGTGTGATGCACAGCAGGTGTGTGATCCACACAGATGTATGATGCACAGCAGGTGTGTGATCCACAGCAGGTGTGTGATCCACACAGCAGGTGTGTGATGCACAGCAGGTGTGTGATCCACAGCAGGTGTGTGATCCACACTATCAACTGTATGCAGTGACAAAATATTCCGGCGTCGTCAACATTAGTTTTAACGTATAATGCCTTCACAATCTACCATAGCTTAGACCTTTTGATTACAGGTGTAGCATACTGCATCTTCCACTACAGGTGTGCTATGATTAATGCTCCAATCCAGGTGTACTAGTATGGATGTTCCACACTAGGTGGTTCTATTAAGAACATCGTAATGTGGAAAGCTCATGCCTAATGTGTTATGGGTAGCATGGGGACCAGGCGTCCTGATTGGTGCTCTGGTCAACCAGGCTGTTAGATGCTGCTGTTCGCAGTATAACCTAATTTTGGCAGCATATATTTTTTTTCACACCCTGTTTTCAATCTTATGGGAATCTTTTTTTATGTGGCTAAGTATCAATGCCTTGTTTTTGGTACACTGTTATGGAGTATCGTATTATGGATAACATATATAGAGTTTACACTTAATGGGTGTAAGAGGTGGTTAACCTCTTACTTAATGGGTGGTAAGAGGAAGTTTTGGTCAAAGGTGGTTTACACTACGAGAAAGAGGGGGGGGGGGGGACCTAAGGGTTTGGGGCTGCAGTTGAGAACGAGGGGAAAACAGGAGTACAGATTAAATAAATGCTTGTTGAACTACTCAGCATCCACTAACATACACACAGAGGCGGGACCAAAGAGCCAAAGCTCAACCCCCGCAAGCACAATTAGGTGAGTACACTATATACCCTAACACACACACACATATACATATACACTAACACACATATATATACACTTAAACACACACATAAACACCTTCCTCCTTTACTCATTTAAATCTATGAACAAATACACTTGTAGAGCGCGAGTCACGAGGCTGCGAACACTCTCCCCCTTCCCTACTCTCTCGTTATTTTATTAAATACACATTGTTCCTCTTTCATTATCGTAGTGTTGCTCATCGGGATTAAACCGTGCTTCAATCCCCCCTCTCTAACGTATTATTTAATAATTCATTTAGGAATGAATCTCTTTATCGAAAAGTCACACAGCTCTAGCCTACTCCCCCTTTGCTATAAATCATATGACCTGTGTTATTTGTTTAACAGACTTGTCTTTATTACTATGCTCTTCTTTTGTATTTTATTATTAGCATAAATATTTCGCCTTTTATTATTAGCTCTGGAACTGAAGATTATTTTCTGACTTTTGATGTGCTGTGTTTAGAAAGAATCTTGTAATATCCTGTGATTTGGGATGGGACGGGGGGACGGGGGGGAAAGGAATGCTGCTCAATCACTTGGACGGTCGGGGATTGAACGCCAACCTGCATGACGCGAGACCGTCGCTCTGCCATCCGGCCCAAGTGGTTGAGTAATATGCTGTGAGATGTGGCGATTAGTTGAATTTTTCTGCTATGTTCAGGCATATGACGATGACGGTGTTGATCATTATGATGATGGAGATGATCGATGATGATGATTGATGATGATGATTGATGATGATAATTGAGTATAATAATTAATCCTAGCAACAGAGTTGAACAATTAATCTTTCTATCAACACAGCCGAAAAATCCTAGGAACAAAACTCCCACTACCAAAAGTCCTGACAAAGACGACAATATGAACCAGCACGACACCCACAACAATAAACCCGACAACAGGAAAAACTTATGTGTTCCTGTTGGTTGGCCGCAAAAGTCTCTGACTTGTGGAGCGTAATCTTCTGACGGTAAAATCGTGCCCTATCGACAAATTGGCGCGCAGCAGGTAAGCTGTGATTTGGCGCCAATAACGATGGGAAGCTTGATTGGAAGACATTTTTCTTGACAACTTCGCGTGGCGGGAAGGCATCTCATTGGCGCGCGGCGGCGTTGGCGGGAGTCGCGCTGATTGGCGACCGCTGGGATGAGTGCGGCCAATCACAGTCGGGGGCGGGGCTTCCCGTCCCGAGGCCACCAAGATTATCCGAGATCTGATTTTACACTTTATCTTATCGCTATTTTACGTGCTATTGTGGAATTTTTCCGTAATTGTTTTTGAGGGATTAAAGCTCGAAATATTTAATGAAAAAAATCATGCATTCCTGATTATTTTATCTAACAAATCCGTTTAGTAATTCTCCTGGAAATACCTCTCGTACCCCCCATCACTGCTGGAGAATTTCAGGATGTGTTAAACTTTTACTTCTTCTTCACGTCAATCCCGAGCAAGGCTACGATTGAAAACATTTTTTCTCGGCCTCCAACCATCAAACAGTTGCGGGATTAGCGGTCATACGCGCCAGCATGCCGGGAACGGTTGGCAGTCGCGACGACTCCAGTTGTGTTTGAATCCTGCCACCGGACCACAGATTCAAATTACGACCAGCCGTTATGTCGCTTCGTGCCACGTGTGTCTGTATTAACGTGTGTGTGTGTGTCTGCGTGCGTGTGTGTGTGTCTGCGTGTGTGTGTCTACGTGTATGTGTGTGTGTGCATGTGCCATCGTGTGCAAGTCTTTGTGTGTCAGTTAATGTTTTATCATGTATATGATTATATATAAGTACTGGTAGACACGTGTGTGTCTGTGTAGACACTTTATCCGTGTAAGCATATGTGGTTGTCTGTTATCATGTGTGTGTATGTCTCAGCACTTGTGCATGTGTGACTCAGCATGTGCGCATGTATGTTTATCTGTGGACTCAGCATTCGTGTGCTGTTCAACAAATGTTTATACACATACATACATGCATGTATATATATTGTATATATATAAATATATATATATATATATATATATATATATATATATATATATATATATATATATATATATATATATATATATATATATATATATATATATATATATACACTTGGCTGGTATGCCTTTATTACAATCGAGAATCTGGTTCATCTTGCAATTGTATATATCCACCGTCTGGTATATTCTTGTATGTTTACTATCTGTACCTGTAAGCCTGTAAGATCGGGCTGTTAGCTCCTGGACCCCGCCTTTTTAACCGTTGGTTGTCTAATGAAGTCTCCCGACTTATTTTTGTTGTATTTACTACAGATTTGTGTCTCATATACACACATACATTCCCAGGATGCAGAATGTAGCAGGTATCTAACTCCCAGGTACTTATTTACGATAGGTGAACAGGAGCATCTGTTGAAAGGGTCCGGGCACTAAGACTGGAACCCCAGGACACTATTTTTGTGTTTATTGCATATATATACGTTGCTTGTGTGTGTGTGTTGCATGTGTATATATGCCTGCATATTTGTCTGTCTGCATGCATCACGTATATCAGTGTATTTGTGTGTATCAATATGCATTTAGCAGTTAGGTGGGCGCCTCATTCCAGAGCAGCGAGTTGCTTCACTCAGGCGTGGTGGTGTGGAGTGTTGGAGTGTTTGGTGCGTGCAGCGGTGAGGCGGGGGGGATGGGGTGCATCACTGCCTTAGTGATGTGGGGAGATAAGGTGTCGCCCCTCATCTCCCCCCTTCCTTCCCCTCCCCGTGGCAGCTGCTGGTGATGGCACAGAGGCAACCTCTCCCCCATCACGTCATGAATACCTCCACCGGGGCTTTGTTCCACCCCTTGTCTCCCCCTCCCCCCCACTACCCCCACCTCCCGGGGGTATCGTCGGGAATTTACAGGGGGACTAATAAGGTGGGTCTGAAGGACTGCGGACACGGAGCTAAATGTATGATCTTCCGTCATCGATTTGGGTGTTGTGAGGGCCGTGGCTGCCGCACGTGCCCCCCTCCCACCCCACCCCCGGCGGTCGCACACACCTGCCGGGGGCGGGACCGTCGGCACGCGCGACCAATCAGCGGTCGGTGTGGCGCCGCGCGGCCAACCAGCGTCGGCCCGCCCGGCTGTATCGGCCCCGGCCAGGTGCCACCCTGGGGGATACGCCGCTCTCCAAGCCACACTCAGTTAGTTACCGGGCGGGGAGCAGGGTGGACGCACTCTCCCGCTCCTCTCTCTCTCTCTCTCTTTCCCTCTCACCCCTTCCCCGCTCTCTCACACACGACAGTCAAGATGTGAGGCGCTGGGCCAGCGCCTTCCAATGCTAATACGCGTCAAGTTCGCTGTTTCCATCTGTGATCTCAACTGTGATAATGCCGAAAGGTTTCCTGGTGAAAAGAAGAGAAGACATGAGTGCTCTGGACTTGGTGCCGTACAGACCGTGGCGGGATGCCCGTCTGCTGGCGGAGCAAGAGGAACCGGTGGATTTCAGCCTACGGACTCTACGAGAGAGCCAAGGCAGAGACGACAGGCTGCACGAGGAACTTCAGCAGGTACGTGCCGACGATTACGTGGAGGTGGTTAAAGAAGCAGTGCGGGGCTCAGAGAAGGGAAGTCGTTTGCTGGTCAGGACTCCGGACTCGGGCTTCAGTAGTCCCTCTGACGGCGACTTCTACAGGAGATCCGTGTGTCACACACCGTCGGCACGCCTGCCGCCCAAGCTCCACCCGGAGGCGGTGACCCCGTGCGAGGTGGAACAGACGGCGCCTCTGGCACTCATCAAGAGAAAACCCTCGTCGGAGGACCTGAGCACCGCCCTTCACGTCTCCACCGTGCACAGCCCTCCGGAGCCCGGCCAGTTCCAGCCCTTCCAGCTGACCATCCCGAGACTGGAGGACCCGCGGTACGTGATCCCCCCGCAGACCAGCCCCTACCACCTGTTGTCTCCCACGCTGTACTGGCCGCATGGCTCCTCGCCCCTCAGGTCACCAATCCCCTTCACCTCTCCCCTCGGCCGCTCGCCCTACGACCTCACCCCTGTGCCCCTCCAGAGTCCCCAGGAGGGTCTCAACCTCATCACCCGTGCCCCGGGCTCCCCTCGCCTCATCACCCCCATCAAGGTGCCGCCCAAGTCCCCAGGATCCAGCGCCACCACGCCCCAGAAGCGCAAGTCACCCTCCACCTCCGGAACTTCTGAAAAGAAGTTAAAAACTTCCAAGAAAAGCAAAGCTGCGCGGCGTCTGAACTTCGACGAGGACAAGACGTCGCCGGTGTCGGGAACCATCATCAGGGAGCTGGCCGAGGGCGAGGAGCCGCTCGTGGTGAGGAAGGGCGACATCGACCCGGCCTACAACGTCGTTGAGATCACAGAAGAAGCCAAGGCCGAGCTAGCTAAGATCGACAACAAGATCGGCGACTACGTGTGTCGACTCTGCAAGGAGATGTACGACGACGCCTTCGGTCTGGCCCAACACCGGTGCTCCCGCATCATCCACGTGGAGTACCGGTGTCCGGAGTGCGACAAGGTCTTCAACTGCCCCGCCAACCTCGCCTCCCACAGGAGGTGGCACAAACCCAAGACCGCCGTGACGACGACCACCTCCGTGCCCAGCACCAGCGCCGCCCCCGGCAAGTGCGAGACGGACGCTCTCCCCGGCAAGAGCTACACGGAGAACAACAACAACAGCAGCACCAGTAACAACAACCTCCTGAAGGGTCCTCCGGCGCTGGTGCCCCTGCCACAGTTCATGGCCCTCGCCAGGGACGACGACTCCGAGGAGCAGTTCGAGTGCGAACTGTGTTTCAAGAAATTCAAACGTCAGTCGTACCTTCGGAAGCACCTGGCGACGCACCGCGGGGACCCTGGCGACGCTGACGGTGCAGGACCGTCTCACGCCCGTCAGCCGCCTGCCCTGGCGCCCCTCTTGTCCCCGCACTTCCCCAGCGAAGTCCTGCCTTGTCACCTGTGTGCCGCCGCCTTCTACACCCCCGCAGCTCTCGAGCTACACCTCGAGACGACCCACATGCCTAAGCTGGAGCCTCCAACCGCCACCCAGCTGCACATCCCTCAGTTCTCACCTCAGGGGCTCGTCCCGACGCAGCCGCCACCGCCCCACCTCCTTCACCGCCCCCACCAGATCTCCGCGCCGACGTAACTTTCCGGCGATCACCCCCCCTCTCCCACGTCTCCCTCGGTGCTACAGAAGTCCAGCGGACGTCACCAAGAAGACATCCCAGGGCGTCTGCAGACTTCCCAACGGCAGGCGGGTCAGCCAGCGAAGTCGTCTGCTCTACCCCCGGTCTCAGCGCGGCGTCAAGGCAGGTCCTCCTCCTCCTACGGGATCCTCACCCCATCACTCAGCTCCTCCGGCAGATCAGGTATCAGTCCCCAGGCTCCCATATACCCCAGCCATCTCCCCCTTCACTCTGACTCACCGTGGTACTCTCCTCCTCCTCCTCCTCCTCCCTCTAAAAAGTCGCGTCACTGGCCGTTGTCTTAGACCATTTGTATATTTCCATGTATCCAGATTTACTTATAAAAGACAACTCGGAACACTTCAGATGTAAGACTCAACTCCTATAGCCTCGCGCACGTGTGTTTGGGGCCATCAGCTGTGCGCGTTCAATCAATGGCGGAGTGGGTTTCATTGACAATTTTTTTTCCCCACCTTGAGTGTTGCTGTAGGTCGTAGCCCGCCCCAAACCGTCACTTTCACGACCTGTCAACAGGGTGACAATGCTGTCAGTGTGTGTGTGTGTGTGTGTTATTCCAGTCCTGGTGATTGAGAAGCTCTCTGAGGCCCGTATTGATCTCACTGTTAATAACCCATTTATACGGCGCCGTGAGAGCTCCTTTCAATGCCAGTATACTTGCAGTCGTTCTTTATTTATGACATAATGTATTCTGGCCTTATTCTTTAGCATATGATGAATTCTGGTCGTATTCTTAAGTATATGATGAATTCTGGTCGTATTCTTAAGTATATGATGAATTTTGGTCGTATTCTTAAGTATATGATGAATTCTGGTCTTATTTTTAAGCATATGATGAATTATAGTCTTATTCGTAAGCATATGATGAATTCTGGTCATGTTCTTAGCCATATGATGAATTCTGCTATTTTTCTTGAGCGTATGACGAATTCTGGTCTTATTCTTAAGAATATGATAAAGTCTGGTCTTATTCTTAAGAATATGATGAATTATGGTCTTATTCTTAAACATATGATAAATTCTGGCCTTATTCTTAAGCATAGGATGAATTTGGGTCTTATTCTTAAGCATACGACGAATTCTGGTCTTGTTCTTAAGCGTATGATGAATTCTGGGCTTATTCTTTAGCATGTGATGAATATGGTCTCATTCTTAAGAATACTGATGAATTTGGCCATTGATCTCAAGTTTAAAACCAATAATGTTGGTATTAATCTCAAGGTTATTTGTGGCCTGCCCAGGTAACAAATCCTGAAATTGATCTCAAGCTTATCACTAAATTCAACAAATTGATCTCAAGCTTAAAGGTTAGTTTGGCGTTAATCTCAAATTTACGATTAAATTTGGCCACTTGTCATGATGAACCAGAAGCCGTGCAAGTTGCCAGATAGTCTCATCTCTCAAATTCAAGTGTGATTATTTGTACAGATCATTCTGGTTAAAATCTGGACTTAATTTTCTACTGAAAGGGGCGGTATTTCTAATAATATTTTAATTTTTTTTTCTACAAATATTGATCTTACGGCTTCCTAAACTCTTAATTATTTCCCAGTTGTCACTTAAGGACTAATTGTTTTGGTAAGAATTAGCTTGTATGATTATTGAATCAGTTTCAATCGAGTACCTGATGATACCATAAGGACCACAGGATTAGATTCCCTATATTAGACTCAAAGCCAATATATGGACAAAGAACGATAGGACGAAACGAGGCCAATGTTATTATTACGTGATATTAACGCGGTTATCACATGATCTTAATGTTATCATGTAATACTGACAATATTTTCCTGTGATACTAAGAACTAAAATTTAGATATCTAATGATGCTATGGACAGTGGTCAACAAGGCTTGTTCTCGAGTTGCAAACTATTGCTCTTGGGTAATTAAGTGTTGAACAACAGTTTAGTAGCGCTGGATAAGATATGATTGTTCAGTAATTAGCGTAGGTTATTACTGTTCATTACTCACTGATCATCAAAATGTTCAGTCAGTGAGTAATGTGAAATGGTTTAAATTATTCTGTCTTGACTTCTACAAGATTATTTAGTGTTATGTGTACTAACGAATCGTGGTTTATTGACACGAATTATTGGCTATAATTATAGCGATTATCGTTACTGCTGTTATATATCACGGATGATATAATATTGGCCCTCGTTGTGCCAAGAGTGGTTAATGCCGCTCTTGGGTTGTTCAGCCCCGTGCACCAGCTTAATTGATTGTTCTTTGTGTGTGTGTGCGCGTGTGTGTGTATTTGGAGTTTTCTCGTGTGTTCATTTTGGTTATATATCTTTATAAGGTTTAATATTAGCATATTAGTTTTATGATTATTAATTATTAATGGTGAAATTTAGCAAGGGGGAACGCAGGAATTGTGTTCTTGTATTTTGTTGTATGTATTATACAGTACAATACACCAGACGATGCATACATATATTTGATCCTTCATAGACAAGCCGAAGTTGAACGCTCGCAATCGTTTTCGATATTTATCTTTGAGTTTCGTTCCCTGGAAGCTCATTGCTTCAGCTGTGGACGAAAAGGAAAAAAAATAATCGATTTCTAGCCTAGTGGGCAAAGGTTAGGCTTCGCGCCACGCTCACTCTCCGTGAATTAAATTTTTGGGAACTTTGGCATCAATAAGTTTGATCTATATCAGGTTAGTTATTACTAAGATAAGTTATCGGGATCATTAATTATTACGAATGCGATTTCTCGGGATTGTTATCATGTTTTTTATTTATCGTCTCGTTATAATGAACCTGATTTCTCAATTTCGCTATTATGAATTTTATATAAGAGTTCGCGGCGAAGAGGGCGTTTAAAATGAGGGTGTTCGTAAGAGAGAATATGATGTGTCGAGGTCATTATAACAGGTGAAATAAATTGGATTCATTATAATGAAGACGGATGATTCAGTTCATTGTTAACAGAGGTTCGGTTTGCTCGAAACCATTTGTTTTTCAAGGGCGAAATAACGAAGCCGTTCCAGCTGCCGAACGATAGATACCCCCCAGTCCCACTGGTGTCATACCCCCCTCCTCGCCCCCCATTGCCGCCCTCCTGCCCCAGTCCCCCTCTTTTTCCACCCCCCACCATCATCCCTCCCCCCCCACCCTAGCAGACCTACCGTGTCATATTCCATTCTCTCTCTCTGAGGATCGATTATTTTTTTGTATACTCCCCCTATTCTTTGTCCTCACCAGCCTCCAGATACCCAATTACTGCCTCCAGTGGGGCAACTCCAGTCACTGGTGACGGCTGGGCTAGAGAGCAGTGCTGGAGGGCAGGGCCGGCGGGCTGGGCTGGGGGCAGGGCTGGGGGGCAGGTCTGGGGGGCAGGGCTGGCGGGCTGGGCTGGGGGGCAGGGCTGGAGGGCAGGGCTGGCGGGCTGGGCTGGGGGGCAGGGCTGGGGGGCTGGGCTGGGGGGCAGGGCTGGCGGGCTGGGCTCGGGGGCAGGTCTGGAGGGGCAGGGCTGGGGGGCAGGTCTGGAGGGGCAGGGCTGGGGGGCAGGGCTTCAGGGAAGGGGAAAGGGGCACGCGCTAGGCTGGACAATCTGGAAATCGATTAAAGTCACTTCAGCTTCGGTTTTTCTATGAGCGTTCTAGTATGCTAAATGGAAAGCAAGACTCACCGGTCTTAATACAAAACCAAAATCATCCAACAAACTACGTTATAGTATAATTATCAATTGCAAACGACAATTTAGTGTAAGTGTAGCAACCCAATTGGCTAGAGATTAGTGTGTGTGTGTCGCTGGGAACTAGTGCAACACTGGCAAGGAACCTCGTGCAATCATCCCGTGCAATATAATCACCCTAAGTCGAAATTAAGGCGAGGAGCAACCCAAATTGAACCCCCTAGTGTAAGCATGAATGATAACTCCTTTGATATGTCTATCTAAAATTGTCTAGCATAAGTCTGTAAACTAGAGTACCTAACTCAACCATATTAGCAAAACATGGCATTCGAACTAAAAACAAAAACAAAAAAAAAACAGGAAGATAAAAAAAAATCATTAGATTAAGAAAATCCAAATTATCCGTCGAGTGCAATTGATAAATATGTGACATATGGCCCTCTTCCACTGAGGGTCCCGCCGGCCTGCGCTCCCCCGCGCCTCATAAGTATTCACCATCCATCGTATCTTTTTCAAAATGTATGGGCTGTGTGTAATTTAATATGTGTATATCAGGGTTCACAAGACCCTCCCCACATCGTGTATTTCTTGTGCCATAGATGTGTACAGACAAAAAGGCTTAATGCTGATATCTATTTTGTAATTTGTATATTGAGAATGATGCAGGCGACGATATCCAATGTTGGTGTTGAGCGACTCTCTCCGGATCATTCTGGTACGTGTCTAGGACTTAATTTGATTGTGAAATGAGAAGTGAGGTGATTCTTCACGTGTTAAAGTGTCAACATGACATGATATGACATGACCGATCACCTTTTTCCCTGTGACGTTATTGTAAACAATCATCTGTTAACCCTGTGTGACATTATTATTAAGGAGGGTTACTCTTTAGTGTTGACTGTGACGTCATTATTACGATGACGTGATGATGACGTCACTGTAAACATCTGTTCCCTCTGGCATCATAACAATGATCAGCTGCTCACTCTGACGTCCCCGTGCAGCTGTTCACAGATGTCACTCACAGGCAGCTGTACACTGGGTTATCGTTGTTGTAAGCGCTGACTAGTAATAATGTCACTTGTTCTTAAGAGTGTGAACCTCCTTCCCCTCCCTCATCTTCATTCCGGATCTTCCATGTACCTATAAACCTTTCAGATCTTGAACATGTCTTCGTTAGGTCTTGGGATATTGTTTCTAGGTCTGTAGATACTTCTTAGCGAGACCTTCCGATAACGTCTTCATCTCCTCCTCCTCGGTTTTCTTCTCCTCGTGTGAATGTTCTGGCATATTCACTTTTGAGTCTAATATCTTCCTGGATCTTAGACAGGGAGATATATAGGCCTATACGGTATAGATATAGGTTAGGTTATACTTATTTTATAGTCTTCTTGATTGTGTTTAAGGCATTTCAAAGTTAATACTAATTATGTAAAAGCGTGTATATATATATATATATATATATATATATATATTATATATATATATATATATATATATATATATATATATATAGATATATATATATATATATATATATATATATATATTTCAGATCTCAAGAGTATCTCTAAAATGGGATCTTCGGGCATTTGTAATCCAATCTTTCTTAGAGAGTATTTGAATGGCGGAATATTGTGATATTCGTGACTTTTGTAGTAGAATATTACGATATTCCTGATATTTTAGTAGTCGCAGGTTGAAGACGCTCTGAGCATCTTCTGTGTGTCTTGGTCACTCAAGGAGGCTGCTCCCACTCTCACAGACAGATAAGATGGTACTCCAAGATCTTTAGCGCAATCACTGTGGCATCAGCTTCAATGTCACGCAATCACTAAACACTTCACTGATTTTTTTTTATGAAACAAAAGTATTGTTGATTTCCGCCAAACACGACATAGAACATATAGCGAAGATATATCTTCCTTTCACACAGCGTATAAAGTGTTCTTTGAGAACATTTTGTTCTGTTTACTCCTGTGTTCTGTTCCCCTCGCTGGCCGCACCTGAGTGATGCAAAGAACATGTTCTTCCTCCATATCTCAATAGAGAATACCAATGTGTTCTTCCTCTCTCCAATCACAAAGAAGAACAACAGAATATGTTGTTGTTTCCTTGTTCTTCATCGCTTCGCTGCTGCCAGCCTTCAAGCCTCGTGTCTTTCACACTTCAGTCCACCAGACTGAATGTTTAGTGTGTGTGGTGTGTGTGTGTGTGTGTGTGGTGGTTGTGTGGTGTGTGTGTGTGTGTGTGTGTGTGTGTGTGTGTGTATGTGTGTGTGTGTCTTTGTGTGTGGTGTTTGTGTGTGTGTGTGTGGTGTGTGTGGTGTGTGTGTGTGGTGTGTGTCTTTGTGTGAATGTGTAATATATATATATATATATATATATATATATTATATATATATATATATATATATATATATATATAATATATATATATATATATATATATATATATATATATATATATATATATATATACGTATAGTAGAGAGTAGATAAAGATATATATATATATAATATGTAAAATATATATTCGTCACGTATTTTAAGTAAACATAAGAATTTTATTGTGGCGTATACAGGTGAGTATGCCAGTGTATACTACCTGTGCGGGGGAATTTTCGCGCGTATATATCACACGTGCATGTGTGTGTATGCGGGAGTATACCACCAGAGCAGGTGTGTATGACCGAGTATACCACCAGTGTTGCCCAATACGAAAGGATGAGAAACATTCTAGTCAAATTTCCTAGTTCGGCGAGTATAAGTACCGGGAGAGGCCTTACCCTTCCTCACAGGGTGTCACCCTCCTTTCATGGGGGGCATCCTGCCCTCTACAGGCCTCACCCCCTCACCCCCCCCCATCATCAGGGGAGAGGGGGGTCATCACCCCCTTCCCTTCACCCTCATGGGGTCAACCTTCTCTTCACCGCCAGTGGGTCACCCATTCCCACTCACCCCCACACCCCCACTCTAGTTACCCACCTCCCCTTCCATTCATTCCTAGAGTTTACCTACCTCCTCGTCCCCTATCTCCCTCCCTCCCACCCCTCCCTCAATCCCCTCCCCACTTTCTTCTCTCTCTCCTCTCCCTCCGTCCCTAGTAACTCCCATCTTGCATGAGTTAGGGAGTTGAAGGAGGAGATATAGGAGTGAGGGAAGGTCGGGAAGCTCAAGAAAGAGGGGAAAATGCGGGTGATGGTTCAAGTACCACCAGGTCTCTCCCTATCTTGTTAATGATCTCACACTCGCCTAATAGTTTGTCCCTAGTCACGTAAGGTCCCTCGCTAGCGAGGGGGGCGTCGTCCCTGGGGGGGGGACCCCCTTGTCGCCTACAGGAGACAGGCAAATAGGTCTCCCTCGTGGGCGTGGTGTAGTCATAAGTATCGTGTCAGTTGTACCTGTGTTAGTTAAGTTGTAGGTCTTCGTCTAGCGTGTAGGCTACTAGTACACGAGGCCTCGTGTGCAGTCCCGGTTTGTTTTTAGTAACTAAGTGTCACTTTTAGTCATGTTTTAAGGCTAGTCTTAGTTATAAGTTGCACCTCAAGTCATGTTTAAGGCTAGTCAAGTGTCTCCTAGTTAAGTTTGAGGACAGGGTGGTTAGGTTAGGGCTAGTTCCGCCAGCAGCCGCCCTGGGTAACCTAGTCATTGTTAAGTGCCTTTAGTAGTTTTACTCTCCATATGTTAACTGTTTGTAGGTCTATTGTCCAAAGGTCAATTGTCCATAGGTCTATTGTCCATAGGTCTATTGTCCAAAGGTCAATTGTCCATAGGTCTATTGTCCATAGGTCTATTGTCCAAAGGTCAATTGTCCAAAAGTTAATTGTCCATAGGTCTATTGTCCATAGGTCAATTGTCCATAGGTCTATTGTCCATAGGTCAACTGTCCATAGGTCAATTGTCCATAGGTCTATGGTCCATGGGTTAATTGTCCATAGGTTAATTGTCCGTAGGTCAATTGTCCAAAGGTCAATTGTCCATAGGTCTATTGTCCGTAGGTCTATTGTCCGTAGGTCAATTGTCCGTAGGTCAATTGTCCGTAGGTCTATTGTCCATAGGTCAATTGTCCAGATGACCCCTGACGAAACCTGTGCATCTTTCATCAATCATAGCGGTTTAGTTTACAATTGTTCAAAAGCCTGAGGAGGTTCTATAACAACTTTGAGTTGTTATAGAGCTTCTAGACCCGTAAACTGTTTAGTAAATGTTAACTAAACCGCCACGACCAGGCAAAAGATGCACAGGTTTCGCAAGTGCTGGCGGAGATAATTCCTGAGGCCAACTAGGCTGTCAAGGAAGGTGGAAAGTGTAAAATGTGTTGATGTATTTCGTCAGCTTCTGATGAGTCGCAGAATTTCCTCATGTTAGCGGGTTCGTACAAGTTTGTATTGGCTGGTTTATGTGTGTGTTTGTTTGTGTGGTCAGAGTACACATGTGGTCAGAGTACACATGTGGTCTGAGTACACATGTGGTCAGAGTACACATGTGGTCTGAGTACACATGTGGTCTGAGTACACATGTGGTCAGAGTACACATGTGGTCTGAGTACACATGTGGTCAGAGTACACATGTGGTCAGAGTACACATGTGGTCTGAGTACACATGTGGTCAGAGTACACATGTGGTCTGAGTACACATGTGG